ATTCGCTTGAGCACTTCGGTTCTCTTGGCGGAGTTGTGCTTTCATTCCTAGAATATGTGTTCTTCTGTGTCGTCTACTTTGCACTGTGCGCATAAACGCGTATGTGTATCATGTACGGAATCTGTGCTGTCTTGTCTGAACCCAGTTGCGAGGGCCACAATTTATCTCTTGGGGCACTCGTACTTAGCCGTTCTTTTTGGAACCATCGCGGTCCCTGTGCGTAGCCTCCTGAGGCAGACCGTCTCCCAGGGGGAGTAAGTGCATTTTGGCCGAGGTTGCGGGTTATTTTTGCGGAGTGCTTGCAGTCTCTCCCGCCACGCTATCCGCTGAGCGGCCTTGAGTGCTGTTGGGTTTTTTTTTTTTTTTTTTTCCTAGGAACACAGGAAAGGGCCACCGTGGCCGAGGTTATAAGAGGGCGATGTCCCAGAGTAAACTGACCTTGCGCAAGCTGCCTTTAATATATTTTATCGTTATCTTCATTGTTTTTGCTATCTTGTCTCGGAGCACAAAAAAGTGTCTGTCTCAATGCCTTCGTTTTCTACTCGAATACGCTAACGGCGAGCATTGTTTCCTCTGGTTCCCTTTCCGGTACGGATATGACGATACCGGATAATCTGGCAGATAACCTGCCCGACCTCCTGGGGCTCGGGCAAAAATTGTGCCGGAAAATTGCCGGCACACGCCAGAAAAGCTCCACCTGAACGGCGCGCAATCGCCAGCCTTTAACCACGCGCATTGGTGTATCAACCGGTAAGGCGGGGGGCCATAGGTACCAGGCGTCCCAGGCGTCTTAGAGACGTAAGGGAGTGGAAGGGGGGGAGGTGCTGGCTGCTGCCAGAAGTGGCAGCATCCAGCCCCGCCCCCCCCCCCCCCCCCCCCTTCTTCTCTGCTTCACTGCTATAGGTTGCGATCTGGGGGAGTGAAGAGAGCGGGGGGTTCTAAAAAAAACATAAGGGCCCCGGGTGCCGGCGGCCTAGCACGCCACTGACCACGCGAACGCAATTGCAGAACAGATGCCAATATATTTTGCTAGAAAATGAACCCCCGAATTAGACCATAGTTTTGTGACGGTAAGTTGTAGTATGCTACTTTTCCAAAAGCTTGCCTACTGTCGTGCAAAAACGTTATCAAGTGAATCGTGCCAGAACCCATTAAATGATGTAGCTAGGTCTATCATCAACGCACGCACGTGTTTGTGAAAGTTTTCTCCATATGCAAATTATTGAGAAAGCAAAGGCAGAATGGCGTTGGAACAAGCTGTCACAGTAACGTTTCCGCTTGTAGCCGGTCGACCTTATGTGTGCCTTTTTATAAACAAGGGGAGCGAAAACTCACGAAAGTGGGCAGAAGACTTAACCAGAAGAAAGCAGACAGCAGCTGCCAAGCCAGCAGCCACATAGTGAAGCAAAAAGATACGCAACAAGCTAAGGCATGCTAAGTTTACATTCAGAACTTAGCCTCGGGAAGAAGAAAACGCTTGACATGTAGACGCTGCCTTACAGGCACCCTCTTCTTAAGGAGCTACTCACACGACAAGAGGTTTCCAAGACAAGTGTCTCCCTCATTATAAGGATGTCGAGGAGGCTAGAGAGCAGCAGCGCACGCAAGGCCCCAGCAGTCAACTGCGTAATTAAAAGTTGACTACGGCGTGTCTGCTTGCTTCGCGGTTCGTCGATCAAAATGAAACTAGCAAATTAAAACGCCCGCTTTCAGCTTTGAGTCCTTTGTTCGCGCGAGAGGAGGGTTTCGGTTTCCTCAGTATATCGTTAAACTTTAGACGAGCGACGCGGAAAGTTAATTTTAGAGGGGTTCCTTTTATGGATTCGACGAACCTTTGTTTTAAGCCCGTTCAGCTTACACGCGGAGCCGGGAAACTAAAGCTCAAAGCAAACGTCGCTTTTGGAAGAGACAACAAAGTTCAGCTTTCATTCGCTGGAACTTTGGAACAAAGGCATAATTTGGACGTATGCATGACGCGTCGACTTGAGTGACTAAGAGCTTAAGTAAAAAAAGAATATGTCAAAATGCTTCGTAACAAGCTGAAACGCGCCACATCCAACAAAAGTACCCTTCTGTGCGCATTCGGTTTAAGTGCTATCACGTTTCTATTGTATTCGAACCCTAATAGCAAGGATGCTCTCTCATATCAGGAAGATGGCAGAGACACCCTATAGGTAGGGTCCCCTTGCCATTTTCTGTACGAAAAGCAAGTTTCATCAGCAAAGGCTGCTAAAACGTTATGAAAAGCGGCATCTCACGACCTTAGTGATTGGCCGATCACTTGGATGAAATTAGGGAGCCCACGAGATAAGGACTCCCAATGAGTGCTTTAATTCAGGAAAGTGACTCAGGTTGAGACATACTGGAGTCTGAACCTGCACATGCTCCCTTTATACGCGCACATCGGATTGTTGAGTCATGAAGCAATTTTGTTTTTCGATTGCCCCCCAAGCCGCCTCTACACATTGCAAAGTCAGCGGCTGTCGGAGTGCTTCAGATGCATCTTTATGAATAGTTTACAATAACACGACAAAATTGGCCAAACAATCAAACCCACCTTAAATAAATAGCACAACCTACGTTGGATGCACAGTAACTCTCCCGAAGTTCAAAGAAATCTGGAGAATCTACCTTCCCGCACAATACTCGGAAGAGCTAATCGCTGCATGTACAAAGAAAGCTCGGCCAATTACAATGTTAGTATTATGTTTAAACTTAGATTTAAAAAAAAAGACAGTAAGTGCCGTGGCACGAAGTATGATGTTTCACCAAGCGTAATAACACAACCCAAACATTTTCTTTTTATGTTGATACATGTTACGAGTTTCTCATTGGCTCAGTTCCACCCATTAGATTGAAAACATTGGCACTACCGAGTACTTGGCGGGAAAGTAGACGTTGCAGATTCCTTAGAGAGTAGTGCGTTAGTCGCTTTAAAGCGGTAAATGAAAGCACTTCCATTCCTCATAAATAACAAATAAGAGTCTACTTTTTTTTCCAGTGAATCAATATAAAGCTAGGTCATTTGCACCGCAATGGAAAAAAGTAGTAGCTGCCAACCATATCGTTTCATTCACCAAAAATAAAATTAAAAAAAATGACAGGGGAAGGGAAGAAGGGGGCGTGTTAAAGGGATACTGAACCGAAATTTAAAGCTCACAAAACAAGTCTGGAGTGATAGGCGGGACGCTGCAAGACCCAAAAACATCACTCATACAGCGATATCTCTAACGGACGGCCGTATTTTTGGAAAGGTTAGCGAATTAACACGGCCAACGAGACATGCGACATCGCGATTCTCATTCCCTCTCCCCTTCGTTTCGTGCCATCGAGCAGGTTAACCACAGCGAGGAGGAAAGAAGCAAGACCACTTCCCCTCTTTCTCATCTGTTCGAAGAGAATCGTGACATCCCATTCCTCGCTTGATCACGCCCTTCTTTTATGAAAATACGGCCATCCGTTTGAGATATTGATGTAAGAGTGATGTTTTCGAGTTCGTAGCGTTCCATTCAACGCTTTTGTGGCCTTATTTTGCGAAATCAAAAGTGCGGTACAACATTTCTTTAAGTATAAAAAAATTTTTGACGTCCCTTTTGCATCCTTTTTGTCCAGACAAATCCAAGAAAAAGCCTTCAACATTTATTTCGTAATTGCTTGAAAAGAAAGAATTCACTCCATCTTGGTTACCAACCCGACACGTAAGGCGGGGATTCAGAGGAGTGGTAACAAATCGCCGGACTTGGTACACAAATAATGTATATTCTTTCTGTTTAGTCATGTTGATTCTTGAATACTAGGCAAACTTCAGTTTTAATTCTTAACTTTTCATTATAGCTTATTATTTTGACTTTTTTTTTAACGCTCCATCTAATACATTTTTATATTCTTCTTTTCTTTGCGAAAGAGGGAGGTGGAGGGGTTTATAAATTACAGTTTTAAAACATTCGAAAGGTTGAATTAGCGCCATTTGTTTAAAGCCGGTTAGATCATGTGATTCGGGTCGCTATGCGGGCTTATGATTTGTGTACAAAACGCATAGGAGAAGCATGCTGTATTATATGAACCGACACCGGGGTTGTTTTTTTTCTCTACCGAACACCCTCGGTGCAAGAGTACAACAATACGCATACATCATTGGGTCATTCAAACTTGCAAACTACTACGGGGGGCGCTGCTACACAATCGGGTCTCCATATAAATATCAGTCTGCAATTTTTTTAAGACAAAAAGCGGGCTATTCATGTCAGTTTACATGACCCCGTCAAGATACTGTTCATGACAACGTAGCGCAATCAAAGTGTCTCTCTGTCTGCGAAACCTGTTGACCTAAAAGATAAAATATAATAATGAGGCACATTTTTTTCTGTATTGGAAATTTTTGCGGTTTGACAGTCCAGGCAGATACAATCTCCTCGACGGTATTTTCAATATATGGACGCAATCAACACGTGGCGGTCCGACAGGAAAAAGTGAATTATTCCGCAACGCTGAAATGCCTGTAACGACGAGCCATAGGGGCTGTTTACTACTTCCGCGAGGTGTAAAACCGTACGTCACAGGCGAGTGCAAATGAGAGAGTGGCTTCTTTTTCAAGATGCAGCGAAATCGATTTAACAGAGAGGCGCTATATAGCTTCCTTCCTTAAGCTGTCCGCCACAATTATAGCCAATGTCTCATAGATTGCGCTCAGCAGCGTAACAACATTGGGTTCTATACTCATTATACGTTAAAGAAAGGCATGGCGTGACTTATTGATGTTCACGTTTTCTTTTTGTTTCCTTCGTCATTCGTTTAATTTGCGTTCTTACTGGCTATGGCTGTGTTTTCAGTACGTTGTATCAGCGTGCGTGAACTCATGCTGAGGGAACTGCAGCATGCGCGTGCACATTGAAAAGGCAGCGTACTGAATTTTTGATGAGCCACGCAATCAAACCAACAACGCCTCAACTTCCCCGCGCCGGTTGCGGAGAAGATGTACGGAGTATTATTTCCCCACTCACATCGCACGTTGAGGAAGTAGCCGAAAGAGGCGAAAGTGCCGAGTGTGTGGACGGCGGCGCAGCGGTACCAGCCGGCGTGTTGCCGCTCGATGGATGAGAAGTTCAGGTAGCCGTCCGGACTTTGCTCCACCGGAGGCGGCCCGTCGTCCTTCAGCCACTGAGGCGGGCACGGCGGGTTGGCGTCCACCGCGCAGTGAAGCGACACCGGCATCTTTTCGAGGATCGGGAAGCCGAAGCCGGGCTCCCGGCTGATGGAGAACGACGGCACGTCTGCAGTGGAAAGAAGAGAAGCGCGGATCGTCAACGAGACACGTGGTCCATTGACTGGCTATACACTGGTGGCACATTGTCACGAATGACAAATGATGAGGCGGCGACTAGCTAAAGAAACTAAGTGTTTAATTGGGAGAACGTTTGCCCAAAACAAAATAGAAGAAGGTAAGCGTCGCAAGCGTCAATGTCGGCGAAACAGTACGATAGAGTTCTGGGGCGGTACTGCCTCCGGCTCACCACGAGGAGTTCCTTATGTACACGCGTGGGCTTCTGGAACAACCGGCGTAGAAAATTGGGCGTAGAGCATTCGATCCTCGAATAAGCGCCATGGTTCTCGAATTCACCAGAACGCGACATTTACAGAAATAAGGAAAAGGCGCGTTCGCTCCTGGGCATCCAACCTCGGCACGTTGCGTGGGAGCCAAGAACGATAACCATCCGGCCACAGCCCGCTGCCTACTTGCCTAGCTGGGTGCCCATGGCCGAATGTGAAATGCAATATAGAGCGACCATCTCTGGGGCTAACATTGGTGTGAATTTGAGAGCAACGAATTATGTTTGGCCAATAAAAATAGAAGTCTGAAGTCTGGACCTACAATAGGGTTCCGTATTTTCAACATATACCAATAAACCTCGAAAATTAACCCCAACCCAATTTTATTAAAAGCTCAGAAAAAAAAAAAGAAGTTAAAGCTTTACTGAGGTGAAAGGACACCACGCTTCGTGGCAAAAATCTTTTAACTACTGCTATCATTGTTTGGTCTTTAGCCTGCGCACAGCCCTCACTAAATACCCGCTAGGCGACTGCTTTCTTCAGGAACCGCCACACATCTATTGTTTCCTTCTATTACTTGTAGAGGGATGATTTGCAAGTATTTGTGTCACAGGCATGTTCCCTGGATGAGAGAGATTCCTAGGCTTGTGCCTGGTTCCTTCAACATGAGCCCGGAAAAACACCGCGGTCTATCCCGTTAGTTTGTTACACTTGTCGTCGTCTACGTTTGTATGTCCATGAATTTTGTTTGAGCTGTTTTATGTCTTCATGTGCCCAGGTTCGGCGTTTAAGATATGAAAATGCTTTATTAGTATATTCACACCACTATTAGCTGTATTGCTTTGTGAAACTTCGATATTCTTTTTATTTCTCGTGATTCTAGTAGCGGTACCCTAATTTGGATGTAGCAGGGATGAATTATATAAAAGTTATTTGCTTTTGGATATATTGAATTACAAAATTGACATAAATGGAATTAGGTGGTGCGTTAATTTACTCGCGAATTTTCGTTCTCACGAAATACCAGAAAAAGCATCCCTTATAACATTTCGTGAATAAATGCAGCCGTGGATTTCCCACCATTGACGGCATGGCGACACATTTGTTTAGTAATAAATTGTTAACTGCATTGCTCATTGTGAAATTTGCTTAATTTTTGTCTACATACTTTTATTATAATACTCCTTGTTTACGTACACCGAAACAATTTATTGATAAAACAAGTTAAACGGATTGATTGACGGATTTACGCAATAACTCGTCGTTTCAATTTTGCCCCAAATATTCGATTGGTTGGTTAAATTGAATAATTTATTTTTACGGTACAGCAGCGACTACAACTATATAAATTTCACCAAACAGGCTGGGGTCCAAAGCGACAAAATACAAAATAATATAAAATGCTTTGACTGCATCTCGCATTTCTCCTAAAACGTATCATATGCATCTCTAATGAGAGGCTTCCGCAACACATTTCTTTCTTCCCAGTTTCCTTTTTCATTAGATAGGAGACGCATTAACAAGATGAATGAATGGCCTCAATATTGCATCATTAGTATTTTAGAGTTTTTGATTCCAGATTTGCGAAATGAAATCGCGCGGTTGAGAAAATTTTAGGCGGAAATCCTCCTCGTCAACCGGAAGTACCTCATTTATAGCCTGGTTTTAGTGGGAGTCTAGAAATGGCGCTTCCTATTATGGCCGAATCTGAGAAATAAACAAAATATATATCGGCTACTTTTATGGCGGTCTCATTTTCAAAATGAACATCACAGTAATCCCCCTCCCCGCCTTTTCTCAAAAGAAGTCAGAAAAAATAAACCAGTGGAGACCATTTTATATATTAACGTTCTGAACTTGTTGCGCTTGTTCCCTGCGTAATGTTTAGTTTAAATATTTATTGAAAATGGCATATAATATGTAATAGCATCTGCACAATGAGTGCTCCGTTATATCATTAGGCGTTCGGAAAATGCCGAAGTGTAACGCGGTGCTATAGAGTATTTAAATAATTAGCTAAAAATATATTACGAAATGGCAAAAGTAGGCTATAGCGAAATGTTTGGAGCTCAGAGAGTACACACAGAGTTATGTTCCATTGAAAAATTACTATGAGGCCGTCAACGCGCATACCGACGGCCCAGGAAATGCAGGAGGATACGTAGGTGAAAACATTATAACTTAAAACACGAAGGAAAATAGTTGAAACAATTATAATGCTTTCAAAAGCGTCAGTTTGGGCACAGATACTGTGTTTTGTCTAAATTCGTCATAAAAGTTTCGGGGGAATTTGTTTTGCGTTTAGAGATGATGTTTGAATTGCCGTTTTTGCTCGAGTAATGGCCGCACTTCTTATGAACAAGGCCGTAGCGTCTACGTTTTTGCAGAACACACGTACAGTCAATCGTTACGTACTGGATAAAAAACGCAGCGAAAAACGAGGTTGCAAACAGAATTCTCCGTAAAATGCGATCTGAGCAGATAGCATTTAGCGTCAAGACGTTATTTTTGCCCCATAATTCGCTGCCATTTTTCTATCAATCGTGTTCATTCACTGTTCCCGTGTTCCGTGTTAACAAAAAAAAAACCCCACAAGCTTAGTTCATAAACTGCGCGGCTATATTACTTGAGCAAATACGGTAGTGAACTCTGAACATCTGTCATTTTGTTTTTTTCTGTACTTTGTTTTTTGTAAAGACAATGTTTCAATCCCACGTAGGTAGCTTTAGATGCGTGCGCTTCCTTGGTTCGGAGAAGTATTTCCATAAAGTCTGAAGCTGTCTCGGAACAGGTTGAAAATGTGACAACCTCCGCATCAAAATGCGGAGTTTTTTTTTTTTTTTTTTACTCGGCTGATAAATTTGTTCAGTAAACAATTTTGTTAGTATTTTTTTAAAATAAAAACAAAAAAAGGAACGCAAAATATCCTATCACCTCCACTCCATTCGAAGAATTAATGCTTATTAAAGCTGTCAGAGTGATTCCTGTCGAGAAAAGAGTCAAAGTACAGGCGAGCTGGTGGAAGAACCTGTCTGTTTTTTCTGTTACTTCTGCTCTTCAAAAAAAAAACCCAGACTCAGGGTAAACGACGAAATGGTTGATTCATGTCGTCGCTTTTGATGTGAGACTCTCACGTGTTTGGCTCTTCTGGTGTGTGTTGCACCATTTGTTATTTTGTGCTGCGTTAAGTGTATGAACAGCTGTATAGAAAAAATAAACAAAAGAGGTGTACAGGGAAAACCATGAAAGGTGGGGCAAATTTCCGGTAACATCCATAATGAATCGAAGAAAAAGCAACTTATCAAGAACACTTAAAAAAACAAAAAAAAAAACTCTCATTTCATAGACAGGAACACGTCTCTGAATGCATTCATTTGTCTCGTCCTTTTGTGTTCAATTGTTTCGGCATTGTCATCTATGTCTTCGGGGCAATGAAACAAATAAATGGTAGATGTAAAAATTAAGAAGAATTGTACGTTAACTGCCTGCCTCTTTTAAATTGCCAAGTAGACCATTAATTTTTAAGTTTGTTTGCATTTACTCGTACATAAATTAGTCAACCTGATTTTTGATGGCATAAATTGCATAACGTCTTACAAAAAGCTTTTTAAAGACCTTTATTGTCACGTACTGCTATTTGCTAATGTCTGATTGTTTATTTCGTTTAATTTGGTTTTGTTTTATATCTCAACTTTCTACCTAATGCATTCGCAGATTCGTGCACTTTTAAGCGAAGCGCGTGCAATCACACGAAATGATTTATAAGGTCATGGATTCTTCACTTGCTGCTCCTGCCGTGCTCATACGTACTCAAGTCGTCCTTTTTGGTCTATCAAAGAAGATTGCTCTCGCTTTTAGTAAGTGTTTTTTTTTTTTCGTCATACGTTAGCGCAGGATACAACACAAAGATGAGCAAATTAATACAGACCTTGTTATCTTATGTATATGTTAAGTGTATTGGTGCTTTTAAGTTTATTCAAATGGTGGGCGTCCGGTGCAGATTAAACGTATTTTTGAACGGAGCTAGACATCTGAAGAACTACTCATATCTTCGTGAACAGCTGCATGCTGTGCCAAGGCGGATATCGTAAATCTTATTAATTTGGGAACTTGTAGGGGCTCACAATTCGACCACCAAATCAGTTTCTAGGAAATGTATTTATGGTTTAATTTAGATACAATGTGTTATATGGCTGATATCTCACCATTTCCAGCTTCTCATTTCAGTGAAGAGAAAACATCAGCTCTCGGCTGGAATATTTTTCCTCACTGATTGATTGAACACAATTCTCAACCGTACGCTGCCGCTGAACTGGTGTCCGATCTGTGCTCCGCGCTGGCCTTAGTAATTTATCCACCTCAATAGAAAAAAAGAGTTAAAGTTTACTTTAATTTTAATACAGTTCCCTGATAGCTCTATACACTTTATGCAATTTTACTGCAATGATCTTAACCGGTAGACGAAGAAAAAAAGTCTCCCGTTTGACCTTCATCCCTTCAAAACTACCGTCCACGGAAAGATTGCTTCAAACCTCCGAACAGAAAATAATTCGCCGGAGTCAGGCCAGTACTGTACTGTGGATAGTTCAGCTATACTTGATCCCCCATAACATTCTCTCATGGCAGCCTGTGATTGACGTGAGATGTGAAAGGGCGCTTTGTTATGAAGATGGAGCTAACAAGCTGCGAGTTTTCTTCCTTCTTTCTTCTTTATTTAATCCCGCAAAGTGGCAGTAAATAAAGAAGAAAGAACGCTTCAAAAGGCTTGCTCCTTTCCTCCCTTCTTGGGAGAGAGAAATTATTGTACACCCTTCGTAGGTGCCCTACAGATATTCCAGGCTTTGTTAAGCTACTTTCGTCGTTACGTTCGCTGTGCTACAAAACTTGCTCGAGTAGATCCGAGTTACTCCCATGGATCACATCACGTGATCAAACATAAAGTGACGCGCTTCTTATAGCAGACGTTGACAGAGCGATCACCGGGTTTTTCCAGAAAAATAACGCGATAGAGAACGACAAATAAGATAAGCAAAAAAAGAAAGCAAACAATAATTTAGGCGTGTTCCCTTTGCGGCAACGAGTTGAAATTGTTCGAGTGCTTTTCAACTTAATTTTTTACAACACGCAGCGCCGTTGTTTTGTGTAAAATAGATATCCAAAACAACCTTGCATGTGATGTTTTGCTTATTTTTTGTGTATAATATACAGTATGCGAGGCGACGTTGAGCATGTAGCTTGCCGCTGCTTAATATTCAGTGCTACTATTACCTTTGCCACCATAGTGCGAGAAAGTGGCGATTTTCTTGCTTGCCTCACCCTTGATAATTGCAGGCCTAGCTTCGTGACATTGGCTACAAGCAATAGGTGAGTATGACATACAATGAAATTGAATCATGAGATTCCAGAAAACAACAGTGAAGAAGCACTGTTTCCAGACATGCCAAAACCTCTTGTTAGTAGCCATCATTGAGCTAAACTTTCGCCAACCGGCTTCAGAATACTGTATTTGTGGATAAAAGCCCTGCTTAAGATAGTGCATGTGGCAAATACTCTGGTTTCTGTTGTGTTGGCGTGCACTTTGGATTACCTGTTTTAGCATAGTGGAATTATGTCAGAAAAACAAAGTGTAAAAAAGCCTGTCTTACCGAACTGCTCGATTTTATTCCCATGAACCCCCCTCCCTCTCTCTTTCTCACAAAAAGAAACGAAAACACATTTAAATGATTATTTTGCGGACTATCATCCGATGTTGCAGCAGCTATCAGACTGCCAGACTCCCCGAAGTAATCCCCTTCTGTTAATGCGAAGTAGCACAGACATTATTTTTTAAAACCATAACTCGTTGTAAAGGTACAATTTGGGCTGTGAGCTACGATTTCGAGGTTCTAACCGCGGGTTTCTAACTTGCACGGCGCAGCAGCAATTGAACGAATACCCGCCGGTGCCAATTAAGCCATTTACGTCGAAAGTGAAAGAAGCTTGGAATTGAATATGCTATCACTATACGTCTGCCGTGTCACTCAGACGCGTACTCACAAAGCACATCCAGAGAGGCGCTGACAGCGGCGGACGTAGGCCAGGACACGTGGTACACGTGGCAGGAGAGCTGGACGCCGTGCAGGTCCCGGGAGGCGTTAAGGCTGAGCACGCTTCGCGTGGTGTACGAGTCCTCCTGGGGTGAGAACTCGACGAACAGGTGGCTGGCGGCCGTCATGTTGGTGTCGCCCATCATCCAGTGCACGTGGCGCACTGCGGGCACGGCACGGCGCGCCACGCAGCCTACCTCCACCTCGTCGCGCTCCTGGACCGTGATCTTGGAGCCGTCCTTAAGACGATCGCCGCCCAGCGTGATGAAGGGCTCCTCGGGGGCTCCTAGGCAGCAGAAAGAGGGATTGCTGACACAAATATGCACTCGTTTGTTTAGATTAAAAATAAAATAAACAAGTTGGTACGCAGATTGCAGGGAAAAGAAAGACACGTTGAAACATGTCAACAGCATACATGCAAAAAAAATATAGATGTTTTTTTTTAAGTTTTTTGTTTTACAGTGGGGACAACAAAAGGACCTCACGAAGAACGATACAAAACCAGATGCTAAAACACAAATATCAGATAGAACATAAAAAGAAAGGAAGCAACAAGGAACATTCGATATTTGAAGGAATTGTTGTTCAATGCGCAACATGGTGACGCCGAGTAGGTGCACACCGCCTATGCGTTATGGGACTGATATCGTCACAGTCTGGAACAGGTGACACGTCTCGCTACCAACTCGAAGAAAGAAGAAAAAATAGCCCACTGATTATTTTTGTTCTTTTGTGTGTGCTGATGCTACACTCCTTTTCGTGCAATTCAAAAATACTTAACCCCCCTCCCCCCCCCAAAAAAAAAAATAAAAAAAATAAAATAAAAAGAACTCAGACATAATCTCATCTTGCAAATATATAAGAGAATATTTTTTATGAATAAATTTTGTGAGTTTCCAATGCTAGAGCGTCCACCTGTCATACGATTTTATGTGTGAGAGGCAATTTCATTTTGCACATACCAATATATTATGTTTTTTCCAGTAAATAACTTAGAGTATATAGGACTCCTATGTAAATTACTGCACTAACGTACGGGCTTTCGTGTGTTTATTGAACATATTCCCATTATTGTTTTTACAATTACTTTTTAGCCCTCTAGGTCGGGGGCGCTTAGTTGCAGTCGCGAATATGACAAATCAGAAATGTAGCCGTATACAAAAAAAATTGCAAAAAACGAGAACGTAGTTTATATTTTATTTTTCTAATTTCGCGCCATTGTTGCATCTTTGAATGTTTGTTTTTTCCTCGAGGGGCAGCAATCGGTTTCGCGTTTCCATTAAGAAGGCACTTGACTATTTCTTTTTGTCTCTTACAAAAGCACGCACTCAAATTGTAGCCTCGAACGACTAGAACCACAGATACAGAGAGTTCCCGAGAAACGTGAACCGCGTTTCTCAGCCCGGGTAAGTAAGCTATGCACCTCAGAAAGCTTAAACTTCGTAAGAATTTGACGCTAGCGGTTAGGATAGAACGCGAAAGTTTGACAGCATGATGTTATCTACGTAAAACGATAGTTGAAAAAATGAAATTTATCTATGAGCCTACGTCCACCTAAGCTTAATATCGTCAAAACAAAACTCCGCATTGTGGATTTTTGTGGTATTTATACCAGTGGAAAACACTTCTCAGCAAGAAAGAGGATATTGTTTATTTCTCGCTGACAACTTTCTTTCGCCAAAATAGATGCCACAGGCGCCTACAACGTCAATTCCTGTTTTCAGAAGTTTTGGCTTGGGTGGACGTCGGCTCATAAATAAATTTCGTATTTTTCAATTATCTTCTGTTCCAGGTAACGTCATGTTGTCTAACTTTCCATTTCTATACCAACCGCTAGCTTCACATTTTCACGGGGTTTGGGATTCCTCTGATGCATAGTTTATTTACCCGACCGAAGAAACACGGTTCTCTCTTCTCAGGAACTCCCGGTATATCAGACGACCCAGTGAGAAGAAAAATAGCAATGACAAACTTGAAGACGAAGGACGGGACGACAAGCGAGTCAGCAGTACGAACTCGTATTGGACCCTCCCGCATTTCCGCCCTTTGATTACTCCAAGAGCAAACACCATCTCTCGTTTTCCGCTCCCTGTGATGGAACGCTGCTGCCCTTATTATCCCGATTCAATTAAGAAGAAGCTTCCCTCGGATGACGTCACTTCCTCCTTGGCGCCAGCGGGGAACACGAGAAAGCACTTGCCGAACTTCCGAATGTAGCGAAAGGGCAGAATTGAGATAACAGTAAAGCGAAGAAAGGAAAAGAAAAAAGTTTTAATTTTCTCATCGGCGAACTTTGACGAAGCCATAATTAAGCAGGTGTGAGGAGGAGCCTTAATGAGTAACCTCGTATGCGCGGGTGGTTAGATTGAGTGTTAGCGGAGAGTTCAACGGAACGGTGCACTCAGACGTATTATCGTGTGCCCAGAAGTCAATTAATTTGAGTCCGAGAAAAAGTCGGAGTTTCCGCCGCACTAAGAATTATTTTTTATCGTTTAGTTCGTCCTTAATTCGTCTTCTTTTTCTTTTTTTTTTTTTTCATGTGCCCTTATTTGTTTTTTACTTGGTCATTTCGTTATTACTTATATTTTCTGGGTGAGTTCATTGTACTCATTCTTATTTGAGCAGCGAAGGTAAATAACGGCTTCTCTGCTAACAACCTTCCAGGAAAATCGACGTACGTTTTTATACTCTCTTTTTTTTTTTCTTCTCATCGTGCGTTCGCTGTCTGGTGCTCTCTACCGCAATTAATAAGGAATGTAATTTGTGTACACTGCTTCTTGTCGAATATTTAGCTCGAGGTCGTAGCCGCTAACCACCCACCGGAAATGTGATTGACATTTTTGGCGGACAAGTCTAATCGATATCAATTACTCCGAGAGCGACATTTCACGAACGGAGGTTGTTAGCGTACTCTAACTAGATGCGCATGCCTCGCATATTGTACGATAGACGGTACGCCAAGCTTAAGTACAATGTCTTCCTCTCGCAAAAAAACAAAAACAAAAAAAAGTTTGCAAATTATTATTTTGGTATGCACACTGCGGTAGTTAGTTGGTATGCACAATGCGGTAGAACCCGTGTTATCCTAAGTGTGTGTAAATGTATGTATCACTATGCTTAAATTTGGTTTTTTTTTATATAAGCGATAACATGTAAAATACGATGCACCGAAACCCGGTGGAACAAATCAAGAACAGAAAAGATTTTCTTTGCAACTTGAACGTCTTATTGAGAACTGTCCATGCTTTGGGGGGGGGGGGGGGGGGGGGGGCAGACGTTCATGAGAATCTGAATTAAATTGAAACAGCGCGATACGTATCCTTGGAAAGGAGAATAATTTAATTCACCTTTTTATTTATGTATCGTAGCCATGCTCACTTCAATATGGGAGGATGTGTCTTCAAAATGCGATTACCTATGTATGTTCTGTCAAAGTTAAAATACAGTTTAGGGTTTAGATAGGAGAGTTATATTCATATCTTCACGCAGTTATCTACTATAGCGAAAAATTAATGTTTTTGTGTTTCCCCCGCCGGTTGATATATCTGCACAAGCAAGATTTATGACTACGCGTGTCATAAAAATATAACATTACGCAAAGGAAATGTATATTTTGAATTGAAAACCGTTCTATCTATTATCAAAAAGTCTCGCTAAGGCTCTTTCACAGGTTGTAAAAAAAATGCTTTGTGTTATTCATGCAGGATTTCTTTTCAATGAAAAAATTGATTGTCCATCGATTGGAAAATGACCATTTTTGTTCGTATTTTTAGAACATTTAAATCTATACAAGTTTATATACATTCGCTTTCTAAGTATTCTTAGGCAATTTGAAAAGCAATTGGCATTTAGTGATTAAATCACGCGTTCTCCAGTAAAGAGAACAGGATATTGCGCGCGAAGCTAGCCAAGCAGGCAGCGCCCCCATGCCCGAATGATTGTCGCGCTTGGCTCCCACGTAAACGGCCGAGGTTCGATTCCTGCGAGCGGACACGCACTTTCGTTATTTCTGTATATGCCGTGTCCTGTTTTATTCCAGAACTATTATGCTTATTCAGGGTCCGAATGTTCTATGCTCCGTACCTTCTGAGCCCATTGTTTCAGAAGCACACGCGTTTACATGAGAGAGACGGGACAAAAAGACGAAGAAGCACACAGGACAAACGCTAGCGTTTGTCCTGTGTGCTTCTTCGTCTTTTTGTCCCGTCTCTTTTGCGCTATTTTTAATATGAATCTCCGCGTGGTGAAGGAGAGTCACTCTTTCGCCTGCGCTGGATCCTGCAGTTAAGCCGCCATCGACGTCTGCGACACTAGCCTGCTTCTATTTCATTTTCGGCACAAGCTCGAACTGTTAAACATTTAGTTTCTTTCAGCCATTCGCCGCCTCATCAATTGTCATCCGTGACATTTTGGTGGAGGTGCTAGGTATCAAATTTTATTTACGTGACGCGTACCCCTTTGAAGACATCCCGGCCCATTCAGGTGATCAACCCCGGGAATGCTACCCTTCGCAAAAGACGCGGAAACCCGAGTAAACCTCCGTACCAAAGGTCAACCCCCGGAATTCGGTTTCGTGCCGCTGAAGCGGAAGAACACCGCGACGATGACTACCCCCCCGCCCGTCGTCGTCCTACCCATCACTCCCCGCAATCCGACGTCCTCTCACAGAGAAGCGCACGTGGATGTAGAGGACTGGCTGCAAGAGGATGAACGTGTAGCCCGCCAAAACGGATGGAGGATTGAGCAGCGCCTCCAGAACCTCTACTTTTTACTTGAAGACACTGCGAGACACTGGTTCGAGAACTACTAAGTTTACTTTATTTCATGGGAGTTCTGCCCACCCCAACTGAAGTGAATATTCATCAACCATCACCGTCGGCAGCAAGCGGAGGATACTCTTCAAGCAAGCACAAGAGACCCAACGAAAGCGTGACAAGCTTTGTTGAAGATGCCCTGCGCCTAAGTGCCCGAGGTGATCCGGAGGCCGCCGAGGAAAAGAAACTTCGCGCCCTTATCCGTGGCTTGAAGAGTGAGATTTTCCGAAGCCTAGTGAGAAATCGCCTAGCGACTGTCGAAGGTTTTGTAACTGAAGCCACCAATATCGTGCGAGCACTGACGGCCCGAGCAGGCCACTACCACCGACTCTCCAGCTTGCGTGTTGCTACAACCGTCGCAGCTTCCCGCCTGGACCTGAACATCGCCGGTGTCGACAGGCTTCGAGAGATCGCCCGGGATATCGTCCGGGAAGAGCTCCGCAAGATGCTACCCGCTACTGTTCACCCGTAA